TAGGTGTATATTCACATCCAATATAGCCATTACAGCACACATCAACTGACAACCCAACAAACATACCTGTAGTAGGTGTAAGATTCACATCCAATATAGCGATCATAACCCACATCAACTGACAACCCAACATACCTGTAGTAGGTGTATATTCACATCCAATATAGCCATCATAGCCCACATCAACTGACAACCCAACAAACATACCTGTAGTAGGTGTATATTCACATCCAATATAGCCATCATAGCCCACATCTTCCAATAACTTAAATATATACGTATAGTTAATTTCACCAGGACTGTCCGGTTCACCACGATTTGGAACTTGTGCTACCTGTACATGTCCTGAAGCAAAAACAGTTTGCACCAATCAGTTCACATAAAACATTTTCCAAACACAATGATGTAAGATGGATTATTTTTGTACCAGGTGACCTTAAGATTGTGCAAAATGAAGGCTGATGTACATCTAATATGTGCGATAACAGGTAGCTGTGTCTAATTTCAGGTTTTCTGGTGCCAATTAAGTCAATGTTTTAGCTATGATAGTACAATGAATTATTAATTATTCATGTTCGATTTAAAATTCAAAATTTGTGATCCAGATTAAACATTTGATAAAACCTAAATTATAAATACACATGATATCAAAAAGACTCGCATGTTTTTTTTTATTGACACACTCACGGGACATTAAAACAGCCTTACCAATATATGGAAGAAATGTTTTTATTAAATATGTCAGATTTCCCACCATTATCTGAGCATGGAATAAGTCCTGGATAATACAGAAAACAATGGTATTAGAGAGAATATTGTGTTCATTTTGACATTTCAGTCACGCTATTTTTAACACACCACCAGCTGATGTTTATATACCCTTCTTATTGGCCATCTATGGAGACTTTAAATTTATATATATTAATGCAACAATTAAATTGAGGAAATTTCAGTTAATATTTATAAATAGCAGTGAAATACATATCCATATTTGGAGTTAGACAAAATATGACCGAGTTAAGGTAAACAGTGAGGATTTTCATTCACTGTAATGACAATCTGGCCAGATATTTAGTTAGAATTTGAAAATAACCTTAGATTCTATCATAATTTTAACCCTGACTGCACACTGAATAAAGTCATGCATCCCACCTTCCCAATTTGTATTTAAACTTACCAGCATTAGTTTCAAATTGTCATGATTAATCTTTTTTATAATATCAATAGCTGCAAAGAATCAAATAATTATGTGTACTTAGTTATCAACATTTCTAAATTGACATCAAAATATTTTTTGTTAAATACCAACCTACCAGAGTTGGTCAACGGGAAAGTATGTGAATCTGGTACAACATTAAACAAGCAGCCTATCGGCTGAGATAGCTCCGCTGTTAGCAATGCACATTTCAATTAAAGAACTGAAGACATCATTAGAAAATGAACAATATGAATAGTATCAAAGCAATCGGACTTACAGTTTTTAACAAGAAGTCGAAAATATCACTTTTTACCAAAAATTACAAAAATATTCACCAAAATAAATTAATTAGAGAATTGAAGATATCATCACAAAACGAAAAAATCTGAGAGAGGTCCACATGTCGTACCTATATATGTAATATCAAAGCAATCGGACTTGCGGTTTTTAACAAGAAGTCAAAAATATCACTTTTTACCAAAAATGACAAAAATATTCACCAAAATTAGAGAATTGAAGATATCATCACGAAATAAACAAATCTGAGAGAGGTCCACATGTAGTACCTATATCTGTAATATCAAAGCATTTG